GAATGTGGAGTAGGTGGGGTGGAACAGGAGTTGTTTGAAGGAATTTGTTGACTAGGATTGACGTATGGATGTATGAAGAGAGATCTAAAAGGAGGTAGTACGAATGACGAAGAATTTTCTGAAGGAAGTAGTTTTATGGGAGGGAATATATAAATCTATATTTTGAGGCCTAGTATTATGAGAGTGGATAGAGGAGCGTGGAGTAAGGAGTTCTAGGATGTAGGGAGGGTTTTCGTTTCTGAAGACTTGGAAAAAGAAAACACCAAGGAGGAAATGTCGTCGAGAAGTAGGATAAAGCAATTTCAACTCGGTGTACTAAAATGAAACAGGCGAACGCCCTGGGGATCCCGAAGATGTATCTTATGAAACAGTTCATGAGTTTCTTCAGTCTCATTTCTAACCTGGCAGATAGCTCTCCAAACACCAAACAGCCAAAGTGAGGGAATATAAGTTACAAGGAGCTGTCTGGTTTTTAGAGGAATACAATCACGGAATCTTAGGAGTTGTTTAAGGACAGTTATGGATTTTCGGGTAATCTGGGAGGTTGTGCTCATTATGTCATTTTATAAAATTTGTCTATTAATTTTTTGTATCTAGCATTCAGGGAAACATTAAAAGAAAATTTCTTTTAACTACAAAAATAAAAATATATAGACCAATGCTATAAAATGTCTAAGGAACCACCAAAAAAACAAAACAAAAAAAAATACAAGGATCTAACAATAGTGAGTGTGTTTCAGGTGATAAGAAAAAATTTCCGAAACGTTAAACGAATTATAAGGAAATGTGATAATTAAACATTTATACAATAGTCACAAAGGAGTTATAATTGCCACTTACATGTGTACAATTTCTATCTCATTACATACATATATTTTTATAAGTAATATGAATAATAAAATAAAAACCGTTATTCTCGGAAGTCAGCAGCTGTATTGTCAAAATTTACAAATGGGAATCAAAGTTTCGATTGAAGTACCCTCTTTCCTAATATTCCTACAAAAAATATATCTAAAGCCAGTTTGGTATTTAATGACACGGATTGTATTGTTATTCCATGAAAAATTTGTAGCAAACAAAAACCGTGTTTTGTTTTCGAAATTAGAAATTAATCGCAGTTTCCTTTATTGTTCGACCTCACCGAGTTAATGACTCTAAGTTCCCGGTGATTGTAAAGGTAGATTACTTTGAACCTCAGAACTGAAATAACAAGGACGCGCAGCAATATGATTTTGTTACAGATAATGATCCATGAAGCTGTGTGTTCTGAAGATAATAGCAGCCTGGCCCCACAAGGTCACTGTTGTCCTTCCTTCTTATCTTGCACTTGAAAACAAAACCTAAATTACTATATTTTAACAATACAAGAGAGAACTAGAATAAAATCGCACGGCTGCTCAACTTTGTTGAGTTGCTAAAACACAGCATAATCATTAGTCAACTATTTGAAAACCGAAACAAAAGAGTGTCAAATAAATAACTCTCTCTCTCTCTCTCTCTCTCTCTCTCTCTCTCTCTCTCTCTATATATATATATATATATATATATATATATATATATATATATATATATATATATATTGTAAAAAAATAATGTTAATAAATAAAAATAATAAAAATCGTAAGAAAACCGTGTTTTGTTTTCGAAATTAGAAATTAATCGCAGTTTCCTTTATTGTTCGACCTCACCGAGTCGATATATATATATATATATATATAAAGTCGTACATTATTTTCTTACGATTTTTTTTTAATGGCCTTATTGCTGTGTGGCATAAAAATAGTTATATAACGATTAAATAAGTTTATATCGATTTTGGAATTTTTAATCCATGTAGCTATGTTAGCTATGTTATAAAAAAGTTCTTCATGCAAATTAATAAGAAAAATAAGTTACGAGACAAAAAGTCGTTTACAAGTTAGTTCAGATAATAAAAGCTCGTAATGGGGAGATAGATGGAAATGGCGGGGACACAATTTTTGACTTTATAACATTGTTTGGACTAGTAAGGAGGTAATAATACTAAAATTCCCACTCCTTTCATCGCATCGACAAAAACGTTCAATATACAATTAAAGCTGATAAAATTTACAGTATGATTTATTATATACCGAACTATCTCGCTTAGTTTCCCAGATATCCGTCCTCAACTATGAGACTAATTTAAAAAAATAAAAAAGTTGTTGTCAATGGAAAGCAGTTATCCTAATATAAGCCAAAACCCAAAATACAGCAATAAATATGATACAATTTTAAATTTTTTTTTTTCAAAATTAGTCATGGTTGAGTTTGAGTACGGATATCTCAGAAACTAAGCCAGGTAGCGAAAAAAGGTATATAATCAATCGTATGACAAATTTTATGGGCTTTAATTTTGTATAGAACGTTTTAGTCGATGTGATGGATAGTTTTCCTGATATAAGCGAAAACCCGTAAAAAGTTACCTAGGCGGCCCCTCTCCAGCATCTGGCTTCACCTAGGATTGGGGCCTTTGGTGTATTTACTTCCTTACTGCTCCCAAAAATTGTGTCCACGTCATTTCCTTTTATAATCATTCATTGACTTGACTAAAGTCAGAGATAAAGATTATTCATCTATAATTTGATATTTTTTTTTTTTTTTTTTTTGGCTTTAAGACTTGTAAAAGCAAGTCCTATTTTGCCAGTAAAATATATTATTGTCATAGTGAGATGAAATTACAGTTTTTAGACGGAAATTACACTGGATTTATATTAATTATTATTTATAGTTAGATGATCACTGAAAGTAACTTATATGGGACTTGGATATTAGATATTAGATATTATGGAAACTAGAAAGACTAATGGTTAAAAACTGAGATGAATTAGACTTACAATTAACTGAGAATACTAGGCAACTTTTATGTCATTCATGAAATTTAACAAGTCACGGACGTTATCTTTGTTCATCGACCGAAGAAAGTTAGCTCCATCATCCGTAGTTTGCGACCCTAAACTTATTCTTCTTCGCTTCTCGAACCTTTTGCACTTGAAGGCAATGATAATTTGATATATGTAAATATATATTCATATTCATGCATGTATGAGAGAGAGGAGAGGTCATCTTAATTATGAAAAAAATGTTGCAATTTTCATTTGTTTCAATATATCCAACTTTCTTCAAATAATGTAGTAGATGAGCATTGAATTTTATAATGTTTAAGGTTTGTCGTGCACGGATGTTTTCTAAGCCGTTATCTTTTGTTTGTCTTGCATAATTACAACCTTACAGTTCTGTAATTATCTACAAGGGCGTCACCTCTTCAAAACATTTTAGGCCTATTAGGAGGAGACCATTTTTTAAATTAGAAGTATTTTTCTGTTAGTGATTTACTTATTTTTCATATATATATATATATATTTTTGTTCAAATTATTGAAATATTAACAACCAACAAATCACTTCTGATTCATAAGTGTTTTGAAAATCGTAACATTTGACTATTTTTAAAGAAAATGAATTTTGTCAGTTCATCACCAGAGCTGCTATATTAATATTCTAGGTTTAGCAGCTCAACGAAATAACAGTTGAAATTCATACTTTTTTATTTGAATGTTTTTTTTTTTTTTTATTGCTTACTGCATGTTTTCTGGGATGATAAATACGAATGTTTTGATAAATAGCTCGTTTATTTTTAATATATGATAAGTAGATATTTATTTTAAATTTAGAAGCAACCTATTCACTTTTCCCTTTCTAATTAAACCAAATAGTTTTTTTTTTTTTTCATTGAACCCATGATTCTTGCATACTCTACTGCTGTGCCTATTTACGTAATGTGCTTCGGATTTCCATTTTTCTGGCATTTTAATTTTTATTTGGATTTTTAACCATGGGCTTTATGGATGGTTCGGCAAACTTTTTTTTTAACTCAATTTTAATAAACGCTTCTTTTGTGTATTTTTTATATCTAGAAAACTGGAAACTCAAAATGGAGTCATGACTCATCCAGTTTATTTCAGTAAATAAAAATAAAAGTGAACTAATACTATTATTATATGCTATTATATTGTTCATTGCAAAGGACGTTTTTGTGCTTTCTATGAAACTCGTATCTCTGATTTGCTCTTACTTAAATTATTATTATTTCCTGGTCTCCCAAAACCCTAAAAATGGAAACAATTTATTTGTTTTTATTTGTAAAATCTATCAGTTTTACATTTTTATTCAATTTTTTTTTTGTTCTTTGTTTGACTTTAATTCTTTGATTTATATTAATTATATATAGTTAGATGATCACTGACTTATAACTTGGATATTAGATATTAGATATTATGGAAACTAGAAAGACTAATAGTTAAAACTGAGATGAATTAGAATTACAATTAACTGAGAATAAGAGGCGACTTTTATTATACGACTGGTTTTATGTCATTCATGACTTTATCAAGTCACGGGCGTTATCTTTATTCATCGACCGAAGAAAGTTAGCTCCATCATCTGTAGTTTGCGATCCTAAACTAATTCTTCTTCGCTTCTCGAATCTTTTGCACTTGAAGACAATGTGTCTTGGATCCTTCAAGCATTGGCATGTTGGGCAGTGACCGCTCTTAGACCCATTTGATATAGGTATTTATTTGTTCTACCGTGGTTTATCCTAAGCCTGGTCAGCTTTACTAAGCTGTAGCGGTCGAGATTGTATTCGATTTTATTTATTTATTATTTTTATTCGATTTTAAACGGCATCCAAATGTGATCTATGAAGAACCACTATATAAGGTGATAGTGGTAAAAGAACGAAAGCAGAATCATTATTTCTTAACAGAAATTATTCACATATTCTTTTATTTATTTAAATCTGCTTTTTACAAGAGGAGTAAATCTCACGATTGTCTACTATATCCGCTCTACAGTATTTATTATTAAGTAGTTTGTAGTATTATTGCAAGCCTATTCTGCACATTAACTTTCTCGTGTTTCTCCTCTGAACTTCTGATTTTCTTTCGAATTTACTATATGTATTTTTTATGTTTGTTCCAGGTATCCGATTTTCCGACGATGTCTCCAGGGACGAAGTCAAAGCCTTATCAGCCCTGATGACCTTCAAGTGCGCCTGCGTGGACGTACCCTTCGGGGGTGCCAAAGCCGGAATCAAGATCAACCCCAAGAACTACTCCGAACATGAGCTGGAGAAAATCACCAGGAGGTTCACCCTGGAGTTGGCCAAGAAGGGGTTCATCGGTAAGGTTTTTCCTTTCTATAGCCCGTAAATAATTCTGGAATGCTGCCAAATGTAGTGCAGAACAGGTAGGGAAATTGGTTGCACAACTTTTGTGCACTTATGCATTCTTCTTGCAGCTACAAACAGAGAATTGTAAATTTTATTTTCTGTTCAATATAAGAAACAAAATTCTGAAAAATAAAACAGACTCCTTGAAAAAATTAGGCTCAATGTTCAAAACTTTGAAATTTCTGTAAGTTGTATGAAAAAAAAACTAGGATAATGTACACATTAGTCCTTATACAGTTATTTGCTATTAAGACCTGGTCAATATTTCCAATAAAATATTTTAATATTCAAAATAAAATAATTTTTTTGTATTTGGCAATTTATGAAGTAAAATATTAAATAGATTATTTAAAAACATTCTCCCTTGTAAAAATCGTGCTTTGAAACTTTTTAAGCTCCACTTTATTAAGCATATAATACATTTATCTGTAACCATAAAATTAATTAGCATTAAAAAAAAAATGTACATGACAGAAGAGCATATTTTATTAACTAAACAAGTAAAGGTGGTTAGTATGGAAAAAGACATGCTCTTTTTCCCCATTAATAATATTTTCAGATATTCTGTAGAAAAAATAAAGTAAAAAATTCATTTTATTTTATGCCTTAGAGAATATTGAAAATGATATAATTTGACAAACGTCACTTTTATAAAAAATAATATTAATTGTATAAAATAATCTAGTCCCAATTAATTGTTTTTTTTTAAATCATGTCCACTGTCTTATAATTTCATGACTCCTTTTCCCACAAAAATAAACCTATTTTTTAAAGAATCAGTAGTAAAATAACGATTCATGAGACATAAATATTTTGTAATTAAGATACCAAATATTTTTAATATTTTAGAAACACAAAATACTTTGTGTTTTAAAATAATAATTTTAAACAAAAATTGGCCATGTCTGATTGAAACTAACTAATAGTGGAAGAATATTTGTACATATAGCAATGAATATATACCTTATGATGATTTTTTTTTTTCCTGCAGTTCACTTCAATTTCGAAATTCTTGAGGTTAGCTTTTTTCTCTAAGGTACAGATTTTATTTATCCGTAAAAATTAAATTATTCATTATTTTATGATGTAATAATTAGACAGTAATGAGAGACTTGGCAAAAATTTATGTTTAATTCTAAATACTTACAGAATAATTATTGAAATTATTATTTATTTATCAGCATAAAATTATTCATTATTTAAATTTATTCGAAAACAAAATTGCATTTTATGTTAATGTCTGTGAAATACTTGGCTGAAATCAACTGAAATTGTTGATGTTATTTTCATATAAAACTAAGGTTAGAACCGAAATATAATGTTGTTTTGATTTACCAGTTACCTAGAAATAAGATGCTAGTTTCATGTAACAATAATTGACCAACATACAGTGACCCTTTACCAATTATTTTCTTACAATATTTAAACGGACATAACAGATTAATGAGAGACGTGACCACAGCTGACTTATCCCTGAATGTGAGATGGATACTAAAAATGTGTTGGATGAGAGATCTCCTTTGAGTTGGCATGTGCAAATAAATTTTTGGAGAGAAGAATAGTTGGGGTGATCAGTCAAATAAGAAGGCAAAAATAAATGGTACTATTTATTTTGGCTAATGTCAAAATAAATAGTATCATTTATTTTTGCCTTCTTATTTGACTTATCACCTCAACTATTCTTCTCTCCATTATTCACGACAGTCAACCATTTACCAATTACAAATAAATTTTTGAAGACAAAAAAAATGTAACAATGGACTTATATTGGAATGAAAAAAAAATATATATAATTTTATTTAACAGTTATCAACTAGAATTAAAATAAAATGTTTTATTTAGCATGATCTGTTCTAATTTCAAAAGGCTCAGTTCTACATAACTTGTACACCGAACTAACATTTATTTTAATTTGATAGAACTTGTACATAAAATTAACATTCGATATTAAATCAAAACATGTCTATATTTATTGCCGTTTAAAAAAAAAATTATGTTTTTTTTTTTTAACGAATTATCAGTCAATAACGGATTCATTTGAATACCGCTCAATTGATGTGATTAAAAGTTTTAAATACAACTGGCACCTATTCATTAATATTCATTGAAGTTATTAGCATATATTTTTTTAATAGAATAAAAATAATTAAATAGGATTCAGTAATCTGTTATAAATTATGTATGGGTATTTTGTTCACTTGAACAAATGAATAATTTATTTTCATTTTACAATTTATTGTCTGTAATGTTATATCATCCTTTGATGTTATTATCTACCCATGAATAAATAGAAGTTTGTTGGAAATTTTACTTTTTATGGAAATATAAATATAAACATTTTTATAGAGATATTGTTGTTTGGCATAACAAGGTGTTGTTCGGTACGTTGTATTCATTTATATGTGATTTCACATACAAGACCTGGAAAATTATTAAAGTCAAATATTGCCTTTCCCCAAATGTTAAAGTTCCAAGTAATTATTTATATTGATCGTTTAAATATATTTTCTCTTATTACAGGACCTGGTATTGATGTACCCGCTCCTGATATGGGTACAGGCGAAAGAGAGATGTCATGGATTGCTGATACATATGCAAAAACAATTGGTGAGTTATCTTTATTTAATTATCAGTTTTAAGATTTTCATGATATATATTTTTTCACCAAAGCAATTTTTTTTTGGATTTTCTTCAGTCGAAATCCGTTTAAAGCAATTTTAAGTAAAATAAAGCACTTTTAGTTTTAAATACTTTACCTTTTTCACGTGTTTGACACTAAATTACATCTTTTTCTAAATATTTGGATTTCCTCCTGGGATTTTTTTAAATTTTCTATCTTGTAAAATTTCTCGTCCTAATAATTACAAAATGTATTTCTCCATAATAAGTTCACTAGTCATCATAAATAAATTCAGTACTCTATAAAAATAAAAATAAAAAAAGGAATTTTGTTGTTTATAAGTTTTAGTTTTTTTTTTGTTTTTTTTTCATCCATGTGTTAAATAAATCCTCAGAAAATATTTTTTTATTTTTAAATTATTAAATAACTTGTTTTTGTGATGCTTTGTAACTTTATGAATTTTCAGTTGCAATCTTCTAATTAATATATACTGTGGACGATAATTAACATTATTAATTTTTTCATATTTTATTATCTTAGTCAAATTTCATGTATAATATTGATGAATAACCAATAAATTATATAGTTTTTCAAAGAATGTATCATTGAAAAATTGAATCGGAAAATTTAATTACATATTTAGAAAAAGGTCATACTAGGTCATAATTTAATATTTATAAATAATTTAATTATTTTTTAATAATAAAGTAATTTAATACATATTTTCTGGTAATTTATTACATCACCATTCACGTAATATCGCAATCTTTTTCTCTGTTTACTTAAAATTAGAATTAAAAGAGAAAGAATCAATTATTTTCTGTTTTCATTATTTAGCCATGACATCTGCTGATTGTTAATAAATTTAATTAATAGATTCTGAATAAAAGTGGAAAAAAAAAATATTTTCTGTAATATACAAATAACAAATTTTCGTTATGCGGACTAATATGTGTTAAGAATTTATTATAAAAGTGGATGAATTTTTATGACTGTCATAATTATTATGTTCTTAATCCTATGAATACTTAATTGAATAGGATAAATTAATAATAATATGAAATGCAATGTGATTTTGAATACTTTCTAGAAATTACCTTAGGATGGACCTCGTCTCAAGTAGCTAAAAGATTTTAATAAATATTGTTTTTATTTGCAATAAAAAAAACCTGTATTACTTTTTAGGTCATCTTGACATCAATGCTCATGCCTGTGTCACCGGCAAACCAATCAACCAAGGAGGTATCCACGGCCGTATTTCAGCTACTGGAAGAGGTGTATTCCACGGAATTGAAAACTTCATCATGGAGGCCAACTATATGGGAATAATTGGATGCACACCTGGCTGGGGTGGTAAAACCTTCATTGTCCAGGTTGGTTTAAATGTATTAAATATTTTATTTGTTGTCCTATATCTGTGTTCTCTGGAATATAAACATTTTGAGTCCATTCTAAATGATGAGTTTTCAGTTTTTTTTTGCTGCAGAATAATCCATTCGTTGATTTGATTTTTCCACTTTCCTTATTGTTGACTGTTAAATGGATTAGGTTTAACTTGTTTTATAACTAATTTTAACTCATGGTTTACTTAAATTTTCCTAAATGGCAATCCAAGAATTTCTTTGTTTGGAAATAGAGTTTTAAATTTCCCATTGCCCTGTTGATTAATATACAGATATTTTTACTTTAAATACTTCGCTAAGACTAAACCAGAAATGGAACTACCTAGTTCTGCCATAAATACTGTTACAAAAGTTGAACTTTGTTTACATCCTTAGCTATTATTTAGGTAATCCTTACCTCTATCAGGTTAATTTCTTTACATGTCAGGATAATAATGCCAATTAGTTTCTATTTTTCTTTCGCTTAGTTAACATGGAGTAGTGTGATAAAGAAAACCGAATATCTTTGATCGCTTTACACAAAGTTGGAAAATGTAAGTCAGAGATTTTCAACACTTTGAAACCTTTGGGTATCAGCCATATGTTCGTGTACCGCTCTATAAATAAATACAATAAGACCCTATCTGTATCTGACAGACCTCGGCCGGGCCTTTTCCACACTGTGAGAACGGCCAATGCAGTGAGGCAACAACTAATCATTTCACGGGAAGTGGGAATCTGTCAGATCAATGTCTCGCACGATAAAAAGTGACCTTAGGATGGATGCATTTCGAAGAATGACAGGACAAAGGCTTCCCTAAAAAAAAAAATTAGAGTGGATAGATGCAAAGTGCTCCTTGGCCGTTACAGCAGTGATCTTAATCGAAAGATTTTGTTAAGCGATAAGAAAATTTTTACAATTGAAGAAAAATGTGATTTTCAACATGATCATGTGTACGCACACAGCTCCAAAGGAGCCCAGGAAATCATTGGAATAGTGGAAAGAGGTCATCACCCTTCCTCAGTTATTGTTTAATGGGGGAGTTTGCTTTGATAGCACCATGAAGCTCCATTTTTGTGAAAAAAAGAGTTAAAACAGCCTCTAAATGATACTCTGTTTGCTGGAAGTCATAGGGTTTTCCAGCAGGATTCCGCTCCGGCTCACAAGGCCAGGTCAGCTCTCAGCAGTGGCTGCAAAAGAACATTCCGGAGTTCATCCCTGCATCGGCCCTCCGGAAGCCCTGATCTCAACCCACTAGACTATCGGCTTTGGTCTGAACGTGGGAGGATGGCATGCCACAGAGCACACCCTAACTTGGAAAGCCTCAAACAATCTCTGGTCCGAGCAGTTGAGCGCTTTCTTCAAGGAGTGCTGCATGCTGCTATTGATGACTGGCCTCGGAGATTAAATGCCTGTGTCAAGCCAAAAGGGGGACATTTTGAGTAATTTCTTTTTTGTTTTACTCTCTATAGATATACATTTTATTTTCTAATAAAGTTTTTGAAAAAATTAATTTTTCTGTTGAAGCTGTATATATTTCCTTGTAACAATATTTATGACAGGGCTAGGTAGAGGGGAGGGGAGCAGCGAACTGTGAGCAAAAATTTGTTTTTAGGTTTAATTAAAAAAAAAAATAATTTTTAATTCAGTCAATAAAACAAGAAAATGTAATTAGGTTATATTTATGCCAAAATATTTTAACTAAAAGACTGTGATGAAATGTTTGATTCTATTTATGGAGTGGAAAGGGTTTTAAAATTCTGGTGACAAAATTAAAATCCTATAAATACATACAAATCATTCTAAGAAAAATTCTAGTTTTGACCTTATGAAAGCTTTGAATCTTATGAACTCCACATACTCATGTGTAGCTTATAAATCCTATATATCTCCAGAACTATTAATTTTATAAAATATAAACATTTCTTTTCTATTGTTTGAAGAAATTCTTTTTGTTAATAATTAATGGAATAACCATTATTTAGGGATTTGGTAATGTTGGCCTGCACACAATGAGATACCTCACAAGGGCAGGAGCTGTCTGTATTGGTGTCATTGAAAGGGACGGCAGTATCATCAACCCTCAAGGAATCGACCCCAAGGTAAATTAATTACTTAATTACATATAATAATCTAATCAATTTAATTAATTAATCTAGTCATTAATAATTAATCATGCAAATCATAATTAGTTCAAAATTACTTTGTCAAACATTAACCTAGTTTAGGATCTGAATTATTAATACAATTTATTATTTTAAATTATTTCTGTTTAAGTTAAATTTAACCTTGATCCTCTAAAATTGTTTTTATATGATATGTTTAATATGATCCTATGATTAATTTTGTATTTTATTTTATTATTCATCTTCTACTTTAGTTATTCTTACTTTTTTTGATTTACATAACAGTGTTACCAACTATTATTATTGTCATAGCAGGAAAATTGATTTGGTATATCTTATCCTTTCAAAAAAATTTCAAATCAAGTTATTTAAATAAATGCAACCAACTCAATATTATATTTACTTTACGTGATTAAATGACACTTCTCTGTGGTTAGTGATTAATTTTTATTTTCTGAGAGTGGCCTAGCAGCCACAAATCTTAAACAAATATTTGGTAGTCAGTCTGAATAACTAAAATTATTATAAAAGAATTCACAAAAATTCCTCACCATCACCTTATGGGTTTTTCAAATCAAGGACTGATTAACTTTTTTGGAAAAAATAATTTATTTTTTTTAAATTATTATCCAAACAACCATTTAAATTTCTAGCAATTAGAAGATTACAAGAATGAAGCCGGTACAATTGTCAACTTCCCAGGCGCCGAGCCTTACAGCGGAGAGAACCTCATGTACGAAGAATGTGATATATTGGTCCCAGCTGCAACTGAAAAAGTCATTACAAAGGCTAATGCTCACAAGATTAAAGCAAAGGTAAGAACTGTAGACATTTAAAAATGTAAAATAGTTTATTTTGGACCACTTTACTTTGATATTGTGATTTATAGTTACTTGTATTTATCTGGTTATTAATTATGGGTATTATAAGTTATCAATTTACATCTTTATATTTTAAAAAAATCAAAGAATACTATAGTAATCTAAATTACAAAATCATAATGTGACTTGCAGATGTTTTTATTTCTGAATTTTTTCTCCATTGTTTATTATTGTATGTTCTTTTGAAGAAGTATCATATAAGGAACATGTTTTAACCCTTAATATGGCATAATCTCCTTGATTGCTTTTCAATTATTTTTTTTCATGATATAAAGAATAAATAAATAAGAAAATAAATTTGAAGACTGTCTTTTATTTTTGTTTATTTATTGTAACCGTCATGAAATGGTTGAAATATCAACCAGTGTGCATTCAGTGATATTTTTCATGATTTTTTACATTATCATATGATATTTATTGTATAAATATATTTTAAGATATGTTTTTTTTTATTGTATATTACTATTGCATTGACATAGGTGCAATTATTTCACCTTAAACATTTCTTCATTACTTATGCCCTCTTGCTGAAATAAGAATTCTTTTTTATAGTTAAGTAAAATTAATTAGAAAAACACCTATTGACAAATAAGACTCAATGGGCTTTAGTCAAAATGTCTACCACTTTCAATGTAAAATTTTCTTGTAACCTTTCATCATCTTAAGCTATCTACCTTCAGTTAGTAGCTCTAAATATGGTAAACACAGTTTCTAGTTCTTTTTAAAATCAAAAGAAGGCAGATATATCAATGTGGTTGATAAATTGGCCCATGTCCAATTAAGAGTTAAGTCTTAATTTTTAAAGATGTTATTTACACTTTGGAGAAATAAATTTTCAAGTTAAAATTTGTCCATTTCTTATTTATTTGTTTAGTTTGAGAACGATTATTTATGAATGGATTTATATAATTTCAGATTGTTGCCGAGGCTGCCAACGGCCCCACAACACCAGCTGGAGATACTATTCTCTTAGAAAGGAATATTCTTGTCATTCCAGATCTTTACATCAACGCCGGTGGTGTGACAGTCTCCTTCTTTGAATGGCTGAAGAATTTGAACCATGTCTCCTATGGAAGACTCACATTCAAATATGAAAGAGAATCTAACTACCATCTGTTGGGTAAGTTCTGTTTTAGGAAATTCTTAGATAAGAAAATAATTATTTTCTTCTGATTTGTAATTACATATAATTTATTATCTTAAAAAAAGTTTGTGTATAGTTATGTTTTTCATTTCAAAACATACAATACTTTTTATAATCATGTATTTTTATTTGATTTTATCAAAACAAATTTATATTTTGATACCATTGATAAACACTATTGTGCATGTACATCCTCTTTTTTAGAATCTGATAATTCTTAGTTTTTATATTGATACTGTTTTGATGTATGTTTACAATGCTATGTTATCCTTAAGAATCAGACTCCTAAATTACTTGTATGACTATAATTTTATTTCAACAATCCTATGATTGCTGTTTTGTTTAGAATCTGTACAAGAATCCTTGGAGAGAAGATTTGGACGTGTTGGTGGAAGGATTCCTGTAACTCCATCTGAATCTTTCCAGAAGCGAATTTCTGGTGCAAGTGAAAAGGATATTGTCCATTCCGGTCTGGACTATACCATGGAGAGATCTGCCAGGGTAAGAGTTTTTAAATTTACATATGATTTATAAATATGTGTAAAGGTAAATTAAGTCCTGGGTGATAGGTAATCGGGACACAGTCAGTTTTTTAAGCTATTTTTATTGCTAACGTTTCAACCCAAGCTTATGGTTCATCATCAGGGCATGTTACCAGCACTAATGGTTTTCAAGTACTTGAACACATTCAACAAGCTTGGACTGAAAGTTTGGCATTCAAAAACCCAAAAACTGGCTGTGTCCTATCTTCTATCTCCCATGATATGTAGAATAATTGACTAACTCTCTTCAATAGTAAATTAAATCCATTTAACTTCAATTATTAGTTTTATTTATAAAGGATTTTGATTATTCTAAACCAAATTAGAATATTAATGAAATAGATTTTATTTATTTAAAAATTTATTTTTTAAATTTAATTATTCATATGATTTTAAAATTGGTTTGAATCTTTTTAACATATTTTGGAAACATCTGAAGCAGGAATTATTTATAATATCGAATGTTTAAGGTTCAAACTTGAAACAATGTTCTGCTATCATTTACTCTTTTGTTCAGTCATTTACTTGATGGGTGAATCACTTATTTATTTTATTTTTAATCAATCTAGGCTGCCGTGTTTTGTTATTTAACTGAGATTGATGTTGTAAATTAGCATTACAAGTTATATCTATTTCTCAAGCCTCGTATTACATCAAAAGTTTTAGAAAATTCTTCTTGAATTAATACTCAACTTTAGAGATATTTTTCGTTATTTATTATGATATTTTTCATAGCTAACACTTCTTCTTTTTCTAATAGTGATGTTTGATTCTTTGTCTCTTTCTTATATACAAAAATATTTATATGTTTATTTCTTAATGCTAAATGAGAACGATTAAACACCTACTATCATAAATGATTCTATGGTTTTAATTGTTTTTTTCTGGCTTCATTTTAGTTCAATTAGATTGAAGTTTTTATTTCATGGAAAGTACATTTATTCAGACTGTATTGGTTTGAAAATGAGATTAACACAGCTGGAATTCATAAATTTCCTAATATTATATTAAATTTCAAAAGGTTATATTAATTGTAAATCTAATTTACTTTAATTAAGGCTAGTTTTAACTCATTTTATTAAAACCACTTTATTACATTTTTATTCACATAAACATCCGATGGCGTTTTTACAATCAGGAGTTTTAATCTGACCCCAATCAATACTTTTTTTAGTTTCTTTTATGTTCATTTCTGTATTGACAGATTCACTTTCACAGATATGTCTTACAATCAGCAAACGTGATTGACAACATTGTGTGTGGCAAAAATGTAACTTGAAAAAATAAATACCTATTAGACGGGTAGCTATTGTTTTCCATCCTTTAACTTTTATTAAATTGAGATGGTTCTTTAACTTACTCAAGAAAAATTTTCTTTATTCAGATTCAGTATGAATTTGTAGGGATAACGTGGATATAAATATTAACATATTTTTCAGTTACTTTATTCTTGAGGCAATCAGATTCAAAACCGGTTCCATCCATATTTTAAAATTTTACAGGAGATACCAAAGTAAATTTTGCTTATAAATACTTTAGGATATTAACTCCTAAGTTTTTAGTCAATTCAGTCTTACAAGGTTATGTAGTACTTCAAGAATTTGTGGAAAATAGAATAATAACCTTTAATGAAATAAGTTAATTTAGAAAATTATCTACTTATTTATTATTATAAAATTAATTTATTTAATTATCTTATAATACAATTTATATATCTATAAATTATTTATCTCCTATTGTTTCCGTTTAGGCTATCATGAAGACTGCGATGAAGTACAACTTAGGACTGGACTTGAGGACAGCTGCCTACATCAACAGCATTGAGAAAATCTATGCCACTCACAGAGAGGCTGGTTTAGCATTTTAATTTTTGAATGTAATTCAGTGTAAAAATAAGTACTGGCTATGCTTTTCTGGTGTGGATGTCTATCTAAGACCAATCTCAATTTAAAAATTTGAAATCTTAATTATGACTTAATACGTGCACTGTGTGTATGTATAATTTCATAATTGTTGATGAATGCATTATTCTACTTAAAGTATAACAATATAATTGACGATTATTTATAAGAAGCACTAATGTGAGCAATTGATTTTTTCTAATGACATTCATGATGAATGAAACCTTTTTCCATTTACATCGGTTTCAGTTGTAATCAGTTAAGATACTTTAAATAAATATACCTTCTTAATAATATCTCAACTTTTTTTAACTATACCTTCTGCCACAATTTTTTCTTTCACTTTTTTTTACTATTTTCATCTCTTAATACACACATTTCAATTTCAACTATAAATTATTAAGATCAGCTGATCATCATCACAAGATTATGAAAACAATATATGAATAAAGTAACAATAATAAATAAAATTAAAGTATATAAAAGGCTTGATAGGCATGAGGAAAAACAATACCAGTAATACCTCTTCCATGGCTTTTATTTACTACAAAAAATATGTGATAGATCCCTTGTTCTAACCTTTTTTAGTCATCTTCTGGTGTTGTCTGTAGTTGTGACAAATTCTTTTATTTGTTTGGAATGCCCCCTTAAATTATTATGGCATTGTTTATATTAAGTTTGTGTGTGTTATTGACCATGGGTATATGTAATTCTGAGTGTAAAGTATTGTTATTTATATACCATGGTACTTGGGTAATTGGTTCTAGTACCTTAAAATTAAAGTTTGTTGTTTTTTTATGTGTTGGTTTTCCAGTCCGTAAGTCCAGAGAGATTATAATAGATATGTGTTAATATTTAGCCTTTCACATTTAACTTTTTTTTTCTTTTAATCGGTTAAGAGTGCGGGAAATGTCAGAATTTTGAAATACTAAGACATCCCCACAATCTTTCTACTCTATACCTTTATTATATTCAATGAAAAAAGTAATAATAAGTAATTAACAGCAATGGATCCATCCTAAACTAAGTTATAATCGAGTTTAATAACTTAACAAAATCATTCAGTGCTAACTAGGGTATAATACCCTCCATATCTCTTTAGCTGCTAATTTAATTACTTAAAACATTTAAATATTTTCTAATTTTATAAATTATTTCATATTCTTGCCTTGAATTTATATTTTTATTTCCAATCTGGTAAGTATAAGATGGAAGATCGAAGAAGCCCACTTTTCTTGACGTAAACTTCCTCATAATATGGAAGAAAAAGATGATTTTTCAAGGAAAACAAATTAAATAGTCTTATTTATAAGAAACCAATTTATTGTTATAAAACAATTGACATGAGTATGCCATTGGCAAATGATAATTAAGTTCAAATATATATAATTTTAACAATTTTGTGCAAATAATTTGCATATTTTATTCTTAAAGAATTATAAAAATAATATTATAAACAACCAAATAATTCCATTAATGATTATTTTTTTAACCCAATAGAATAACAAAGGTGATAAGTTTAACATTACATAATTTACTTGTCATAGAAATTAAAATTTCTATTATTACTTATCAAAGAAACTGATAAGTTCCATACATAGTTTCGAAGAATACAAAAAAAAATCTTCTAAATAAATAACCAAAGTTGTTTTTTAAGAGAATAAGAAGTATATAATTAATTATATTTTAAGTATAATAACCAAACCTATAATAGTCAAATAATGTCTAAAAGAAACTACTTATCCCTTTGTTTGAAACTTCTTCAATGTAGAAAATATCACTATCAGATGTCTGACTACTTTCAAAATAATTTTCTCACTCGAGAGATATGAATAGTCTCTTAAAGTCTTTTATAGCTAAGCCTTCTTTGACGCATCTTCCATCTGATGCGATATTAACTCCTAAACTTTCTAATAATTAATAAATAATTTATCACAACATATATATACATTGATAAATAAAATAATATTGTAATGTAATTACTAATCTAGCCTTACTGTTATTTATATATTATCTTCTTTCACCCCCAAGTCTTCTGTTTTGTTTGGATATATCAGTAAATTGACTGATTTATTTTTATTGAATATAATGAAAGTTGATATTCATAATCATTTTACCAAATGTGTCATTGAAATTTTATAAAAAAGAAATATAAAGGTATAATAATAATAGACTCCCAATAATTTTTTTCTATTGTTAGTTTTATGATATGAAAATCAGACTATAATACTTTTATTACTCAAATTATTTTTTATCTACATATAAGGGATTGTGAATAAAAATGGTTTTATACTTTGGTACGGAATTACTTACAAAACATTACCAACATTTTTACTGAATTGTTTTCATAAACTGATAGCAGAGATTTATTTGGTTCTATGAAAAGACCAAATATTGCTTGCGATTCAGGTTATTAAAGTTGAAAAAAAAAAATTGTCAAAGTGCTTTAGAGTTTTCTACCAAATGTTAACAAACTCTCTTTTAAAAAAGTTCCTTATTTTAGAATAAAAAATATTCTCAACCTCAGCCTTTTTTTTTTTTTACTATGATTTTTATTTTTATAAATTCAACCCAAGGAACTGCAATAAATTAATTTATTTTTGAAAATTATAATTGCTGCCTGATATTTTGTTCCCATTGAAAACTAATCATTCTATTTCAATCCCTGTAATATAACATGAAGATTAATAACTATATCTGTACTGTTCCTTGATTTGTGAAAATTTGCACTAGAATAAGTTCTATCAGCCTCTAATATTTTTTTTAGATTGTTTTGTTTTTTTAATTTTACATTTTTACTATTTTTTGCATAAATATAGCAATTCTATTTTCAATAATTGGATCGAAGGGAGTAGTGAATATATTCTTTGATCAATGTTCATTAAACTTACAGCATTAAAATTTAGTTAAAGATCTTATTATTTTGTGATTTATACACTTCATGAAGTGTACAACAATTAAGAAGCTTGTTCATTTCTAATTCTTTATCTTCAATCAACGTAATATATACTACTCATCAAAAACTTACCAACATCTTTCTAAACTTCTTGGAAATGCTCATTGAGAAAACACCCCTAATACTTTACCTGTTCATAAACACTTAATCTAAAATACTAAATAAAATACAGTCACGGTGAATATTCATTTAAGCTTTGATTTGATGCATCTATTTGAGTCTTGATAATTTTCTCTCTTTGCGATGCATTTGTAATGTTGAGTGGAATTTCAGTCCTCTTTATGATCCTTCAAGAAGTCCATGACCATCTTTTCCTCATCCTTGTCTATGTCCTTATCTCCCCAGCCCCAAATATCACTCTCATGATGCGCAGTGATGTCTCCTGTCCTCGCAACTCTCTTTCTGATAAGGTCCTGAGGAACAGTCTTCAGATCGTAAGCCCAACCGATTTTCGCAAAGAAATCGATAAATGCTTTAGACACATTTGTTCTATAACCATGGAATTCAGACGTTTTATAATCCCAAGGAAAGGCGTGGTGATAATTATGCCAACCTTCGCCAAAAGCGATACATGCTACTGTTAAATTTTCTGCTGCAGAGATTGTCCTGTAAAAAAAGAATTTCTGTTTTAAATTATTCATGAATAAATAATTTTTCTGTTTTTAATAAAAAATAGATCATTATAAGAAATAAAGAAAGTAAGGTAAGTAAAATCTTGATGATTATCTAGTCTGTTAATCTCAAATATTTAAGTTATAACTTTGGTGGAAGAAGAAACTTTGAAGACAAAACTAAAATTCTAGGTAATGTATTTCTATCCATCATAAGATTTACAATATTTCCAAATGGTCAAGCTATGTTCTTATGTTCTTTGTGCAGTTGATGTAAAGAAATTACAGTATAACCTTATCTAGTTAACCCAAAGTTAATAAAACGAAAAAAAAACAACACCAATATTAACTATTTGATGAAACTTTAAATATCATACAAAACAAAAATCTATAAATCACATATGTAATATATATTGTAATATGTAATCCTTTCTTTAGAATTTTATAAGATGTTTTAATTATACTTAAATTGTTAGTTTAAAGATGTTTTAGAGATTACAGTTAAAATTATCCACATTTATTTCTATTTAAAGCATAATATTTCACTTTACTGTGACTATTCATTTTTATTTCTTAAAAAAAATCTAATTACTTGTCATAAGGCTTCATCCCCCAGATGTGAGCTGCGCTGTTGACCAGCCAGGTGCCATTAAGGGATAAGGTATACCTGAGGATTCCAGCAACGTACCAGCTGACCCAGGGTGCTTCTCCCCAAGCTGCTACAGGAACCCACGTCGGAAATGCAAAGCAAAGCAATGGCATAAGAACTGGATATAACCTGTAATATTGAGGGATTTATATTTAATTTTAACGGAATTACAACCAGATGTCATGAGGAATTTTATTTAAATTATTTTAAAAATTAATATTAGCATAAATATGACAAGATTCATGCCATTCTATCTAAAGAAAAAGAACTTACGCTCTCTGCCACCTAATGACCCAGTCCCTCTCAAGATCCGACATGTCCACGACCTTCCCCTTATCAGCGACATCAGGGTGCTTCCTGACCATTAGCCATCCCATATGTGAAAAGAAGAAACCTCTTTTGGCATTGTGTGGATCCGCATTAGTATCGGTAAACTTGTGATGAACCCTGTTGTAGAGAACACACATGTATAATAGGTATAGGTCACTTCATTCTTTATTTTGTCTATTTGGCAAAGCACATACCTATGATCCCGCACCCACTCATAGAGGTGATTTTGGAAAGCCATGCACTGGAAAAGTGCTAGAAGAACCCTCAGAGGCCATTTGGCCTTGTATGACCTGTGGGACCAAAGCCTATGTGCACCTGCAGTCACTCCCATTCCACCTAACCATGCGATGAAGATACCTGCAAAAATATATGGAGTCCTTAAAGTATGGTTTGTATTTAAAAATAATTAATCAACTAACATTAAATGAAAGCTATCCAACATTTATGATATTTGTTAACGACTGTGTTGTTTTGAATATATTTTTTTATTCAGAAATCTGATTGGAAATATGCCTTTTTTAAGTTATTGTAAAGTTTTTATGATTTGTGAAGTATTTTGTATGTCAAATTTATTTCTATATTGAATGAGTTTCAAAGCTTTCCTAATTCGATGATTGTCTTGTTGTAAACTAGCTCAGATACTAATTTTCATGATTCACATTCCTATTTTACTATTGAAGGTGGATGGAGCTTTTGTATTATTTATTGTTATTATATATTCTATAAAGAAAACCAACTCTAAAAATTTAATCAAAATTCAGACAAAAATTTGGTAGTTATTATTCCATGGGTACAAATATCAATAAGTGTAATTTACGCTTTACATTCTTTAAAAATTTCTCCATTTTGGTTTTTAATTTTAGAAGGCTCTGATTTTTGTTTTGTTCTTTTATTTCTATTTTTGTAATTTACAGTTTAGTTTATTTAATTTTTTTTTCATCGTATGCAACACTACGGCTGAATCTCCACCCTTAAAACTGAAAAAAGGGAGATTTAAACCTTCCATAACTGAGAATAATGAAAATGTTAAGGAAAACTATTTTAAGTTTTTTATTATAAGAAGAGGTGCGATGGATAAAAGGGCGAATACTTTAAATTTTAAAAAGGTGTCTCCTTTTTTCATAAATAAAAGTTAAAAGAACATTATAGGTGATGTTAAATCAGTCAGACAAGTGAAATATGGTACACTATTTGTAGAATTATTTCCTGAAACTCAGTCTGAAAAACTTATAAAATGCAATAACTTACTAAATAATTTCCCCGTAAAGGCAGAACTCCGCAGTAAATTAAATTCAAATAAAGGTGTCATATGGTGCCCAGACCTAAATTTTTGTTCAATTGAAGAAATAAAAGAAAAATTGAAACCAAAAAATACTGTAGATGTTAAAAGGGAAAACTTGATAGTAGAGAAGACTGCTACACTTATTAGTGGCTCTGGACTGAAAAGAGAATATTAAGGCATAGTCTCATCACGGCAGGTGCACAGCTATGCACTGGACTTTCCCCAGGAAAACCCTACTTTTATTGTTCCTATAAATAAATACATGGCATAAAGGATGTGTAAAATAAAAAAGAATAATAACCAAAAATAGTATCATCGTTAGCAGTGGCACACACACTACCCCACATAAATATGAAAAAATATACATACACTTTTATATTGTTTTATACCTGGTATTAACATTTGTATAAAATCAACTTTTTAGTTGAGGTTTTGAAAAAAAAAAAATATACTCATCTGTTGACATGGCTATTTTTCTATAAGAACTAGTTTTCTTCAGCCTAATTATAATCCACTGAATTTAGGAAATATTAAAACTTAAGAAGGAGATCCAGTTTCTTGAACAACTGTTTCGGTGATCATTTAAATATTTCGGAGAGATGGTTAATTATATTTATGATGAAATACTTTTTGTACATAATGTTTATAGGAAGTAATAATTTTGGATGAAATCTAACCTAGCATCATGACTTACCCCAGAAAATTGTATATGCATTAGCCACCGTGATAGCGAGGTAAAGCCCATAAAGAGCTCCAACGTGAAGGTACACAAAGGCAAGAACGTTCCTCCAGACTATCTGCCATTCATATTCATCTTTCTTCTGGGTCTTCGGGCTGGTGGAGGCGACAGGCTGTGCGGAGGTGGTTGGTTGTGCGGTGGCGGTCGCTTGAGCGGAGGCGGTCGCTTGAGCCGAAGTTGTGGGTTGAGCGGTGGTGGTTGCCTGTTCAGTCTTCACCAGCTCTGCTTCCGCTAGGAACAGCCCTGTAGCAGGGCCCGTCAAGTTGGGAGACATCTAAGAACTGATTGAAAGCTTTTGTTAGACAATTATTTCTATCTGCAAATAGTAATGTAAAAATAATTTGGCTTATTAATCATTAGGAAAAATCGCTCGAAGAAAAATTTCTTAATCTACACACAAATACTTATGGGTATTAGAACATTTTTATATGAAGATTATTGGCCATTATCTTGTCAAATGGGAACGTTACACTTTCTGAAGTATAATATAATTAATTTTAATTTAAATATAATTTATGAGAAGGAGTTGATCGAGGGGGTGTAGTGGGTTTGTATGTTGTTGTTGACCCCGTGGTAATGCATTCATAATGATGTAGAGATGGTTGACCGTGACAACTCCTTCTACTATTACATCACGGTGAATCATCTCTACATCAAATATAATTTATGTTGCATTCTAGCCTGTTGTAATGCAAAATACCTTACTATTTTTGTATTTGGAAAATCTGATGATGTGAGGAGGATCTGATGAAGATCTAAAATTTTGGCTGAAAAGTCGGCACAAAGAAAATAAATATAATTTATTTTTAGTGAAAAATAGTGCTTTCATATTCAGTACTTTCATGACTGCAATCTCTTACCAACTTCTTATTAATGATTATAATTATCATTAAGCTGGATTGATTTCTTTTGTAATTCCAAGATAATTAAATGGTAAAATCTAGCATAGGCGTAAAGCTTTCAAGCGCGAGAAAATAGGCTACTGAACTACTTTGGAGAGTGGGAGGGTGCGCCTAGTAAAATCTCACTTTAGGCGCCTACATACCTCCTCGTCCTTGTTCTCTATTAATCTGTATAAAGCATGCATAATATTGAATCTAAAACATTTTAATTTGATATTTATTTATTTTATTAAACACAGTGATACTGCATTTTTTAATTTCTGGAAATGGATTTAAGAAACAATCAAGTAAGATAATTAAACTAAGAGTAAGTAAAAATTGAAACAAGTTGGAAATGAATTTTTAATTTCCTCACTTTAAGAAATACTTTTTATTTCCCCATACAATCATTGCATGAACTTTTGCCTCTATTAAAAAAAAATAATTTAACTAATGAAAGTGAAGGTGAAAAATTTATGAAAATAAAACATAAATTTTAACTTGAAAGCCAGCTTTAGCAGAACTTTAAATAAATTGCCACTACATTTAGCACCAGATGATTAGCAGACTGTTCTACTACCTAGTATAGATTATTGCCAAACTAGGGAGCAATTATATTTAAAAGCAGTATCGAAATAAGGTTACTCTCTACTCAGTTTCTCATCACAGCCCATGTATTTATTTCTTGCTAAAGAAGGTTGCAAATAAATATCCAAGGAAAAAAAAAATGATATTTGTTAAAGATATTTATTATTATTTAATATGGAGGGTTAAGTATTTTTCGGACAAGTTTTAATAAAAAGCAGGATCGTTTCTAGCTGAAGAGAGAAATTTCCTAAGTTGAATATTTTGCATGTAATTTGTTACTATTTTTTTCTTTCTTTTTTTTACTTTAGAAAAGGGCTCCACTTTGCATCCTCTTTGGACACAGTAGAGAGAATCTAGGATTAATAAACATGAATAATAGTATGAACTCTTATCATAAGATAACTTGAGCATAAAGTCGAGAAAAAAGGTGGCCTTCAAAAATATTGATATGTTTGGCATGACCTAGACCCCTAAATTGTCAAAATAACTAGGTTATATAGGCTAAACGGCGCAATATTTTTGTAGGCCACTTTTTTTTATCGATTTTTTTTTATCAAATTATTTTACGATCCAAGTGGAAAGGAAATGGGTATTTACGAGTTTTTAGTATCTAATTAAATCGACAAACTTTTCCGACCTCCAGATAATTTTTGTAAATAAAATATTTGTAGGTTACAATGAGGTGAAGCTACTAAGATTCAGGCGGGTGTTAATAATTTCATAAAAATGGGCCTGTACCGCGAACTAATAACTTCAACGAATAAATAATTTGCATTTATTAAAGCTTATAAAGTGGTACTATTTATCTTATCTTTACATGGTACTATAAAATTCGTGTCAGATACCTAGTAATTAGTTGGTCACTCGTTTGTAAATAAGTTTTCTAGGTTACTACCTGGGACTAGTTACTTAAAATAGATAAATCTCTTGAACCCTCAAGTCCATCAACCCCTAGATGACCCCTTTCTTCAGCAGGTTCAGTTGTGCAAACAGAATGTCAAGGCCTGCAGTTCTATCCATGACGACAATCTTAGGATAGAAAGTGGGATACAGAGATTACGAGAAGAGAGCTCGCTAAACTTTATTGTTTAACTTCGGATATTATATTATGTAAATGAGGCTTCATGTTCCAAAACTAAGTTTTTGTTAAGTCCAGAATATTGAGGTCTTTGTGCTGTACGTTTATACAGTGGACGGATGTCTTCCGAGAAAAACTATATCTTTATACACACATATATATAGAAAGTGCTCCATAAGTAGAGGAAAATTGTTATAAGAGGAATTGCAGATTTAAGAGCTAAAAAAAAGTTTATATAAACAATGGGCCAATTTTCAGCAGAAACGTCGAAAATCCAAGATTTCTTTCTTAGAACGATTGATTAAAAAAATTGTACATAAATCATGTATAAATTGAAGAAATATTTAATTTAAGTAATTAGCGATTGCTTTACTGTTAACTAGATAAAATTTAATTCAAATGAAGATTGAGTTTGTCATTGTTAAAATCATATAAATATGACTTTTGAGCGATTAAACTAAACTAAATTCTGTTTTTAAAAAAGTTATAAATTATTCGTCTTTTTTTTTTTTTATCCTCGTCCAAATATTTTACAGATGACCCAAATACTTCCTCGTTTAATTAGCTTGAAATATTTGTTATTTAAGTTGAGGTTTACAAGGAAAATATTGAGGTTCACCTCAAGTTGTGTATAAAAGTGACGTGATTTTTTCATCCTGTCTCCCAACATTAACGAGTTTTCAACACAAATGATTACAATCAATTGTTAAAAAGCTTTTATTTCGTATTAATAATTAGCATTACAATAAATATAATTATTAAATACAATTTTTATTCATAAAAAAAAAATCGATCTCACATTCACTGGTTGTCATTAGCATTATGACAGGTGTGAATAAAACATTAAAGCTAAAAAAAAAAAAATAAAAAAAAAAAAAAAAAAAATGATTTCTAGGGTACAGTGGTTATAAGCTGCATTTTTCACCCAAATCTCTATTAAACGAATTGATCCGTATTTACAATTGAAAAAACAAATGCCGCTAGTCCTAAAATTAAAGTTTTCATGAAAATAATTGGAGCAATAAACACGTTTATTTATTTTAAATATGAATTTTAGGATCAGCAGAATTTAGTTTTTCACTTATATACGAATCAAATCGTATAAAAGAGATTTGGGCGAAAACCGCCTTTCACGTCCGTAAGTACGGGATACCCTGTATATATATATATATATGTATATCTAAAACCATGTATGTTCTAAAGCTAGCCAGATCCATTGTTACTGTTGAAACATTACTATAGGTGAAATCATAGAATGCTTTAACGTGTTTAAAGCATTAACGGATTTTTCATCCTGTCCATTAAAATTACTCGAGTTTTGAACACAAATGAATTACAATTAATTGTTGCAAAGCTTTTATTTCAAGTTTTTCGATGATCTGGGATGCATTAAAATAAACATAACTACTTAAATAGACTTCTTATATATAAGAAAAAAATTAAATAATGATTTTTAAAATTTAAAAAAAAAAATAGTAATTGCGAAAGTTTTTTTTTTGTCTTTATTTGACTTGTTAACTCTTTACCTTCATTTTAAAAAAGTGAATGAGGGAAGTTCTCTGTGATGGCTACGAGGGCCAAAAATAAAGATCTATTTAATAGCATGTGAGGTAGTTTTGGCTTTCTGTTATATTACCCAAACTTGAATATAACAAAATAAGCTATTCAAATGTACAGATTTCTTTTTTTTTAATTGATTAAATTATTGTTTTTAAATACTTTATTCCTTATTGTAATTGAAAATTAAACAAAAAATGCTTTTCCTAATATATCTCCCTGCTAGCTATATAATTCCAAATATCCTCGAAAAAAATTAATAATAGATGTTTACTAATTATTTCCTCAGTCAGATAAAAATTGTTTAGGACACCTATAAACAGAAATATAAAACTGTTTCGTTCTGTGAAACTCCCCATAACATGCCCCATATTGGACAGATACTGGATACTTGAGGAAAACAAAATATTTTTCATTGATTTTGTAATTATACTTAACTATATATAATTTTTAAAAAAAGTAAGGTGTGTGCTTTAGACCACACTATAGAAGTGAATACATCAACATAGCGAATTTAATAATATGAAATTTAAATTATAAATAATAGCTCATTACAGATAGGATGAAATGCTGATCAATTTCCTTGCTTACAGCATGCAAGTTCGATTTGTAGTTTCTGAGATATTTTAATACATATCTTCAATAAAACTCGTTATCATTTGGTATCATTCGACTATTGCCGAATCGGCGCGGGAGTACCGCAGGGCAGTATTTTAGGTCCGGTGCTGTACTCAATTTACTCTTTTGATATTCCACAGACACAAGACACATTACCCGCAACTTACGCAGACGAAACTGTCATACTCTCGACTGACTCTAATCTGATCACAGCATCTCAGAAAGCACAGCTTCATTTAAATCTTCTACAAGACTGGCTTGATAAATGCCGCATAAAAATTAACATTCAAAAATTAAATCAGGTTACATTTACACTTAAACTTTCGGATTGCCCTCCAATGACACTTTACAACACCCCTTTGTTAAATCATACAGAGACAAAATATCTAGGACTCACAATGGACCGACGACTGACCTGGAAATCACACGTGACTGACTACATTAAAAAAGAGATTGAACCATCGATTGTCACTACTAAGACGAATGCTACACCATAAAAACAAACTATCACTTTCTAACAAAATTACTATATACAACATGCTACTTAGACCAATATGGA